ATGTCACCGTGTGGACGCGAGGGCCTCACCGTGCTCCTGGTGAACTCTGGCGGATTGTCATTCACGTCTGTCACGGTGATGACGGCTGTGGCTGTGTTCCAGAGGCCGTAGTAGTTCAGATTTCCCTCCATGTCTGTGGCCTGAACCATGACTGTGCACTGCTGCACTTTCTGGAAAGGAGAGACAAGTTGGGAAAGAACCATGAATGGGTTTGATTTTTAACTGACAGGGCATTTATGAGAAGAGATCCAGTCCCCAGAAAGGAGGGGAAGCCTGTTCCCTCTCGTCCTGGGACTGCATGTGGGCACGGGGCCCCTCTGCGCCTCTTGGGCTGTTGCTGCCTGTCCTAAGAACTTCTGCTTCCCTTGCCCTGCGTCAGGTGCAGCGCAAAGAAGTCTGACTGTGTGTTCATCTCCGCGGCCCTGCCTTTGATAGGTACAGATCACCTGTCGGGGCAAGACAGAAAGGAGAAGGGAGGCCCCAGGAAGCACCAGCTCTGCGTTGGGTTTGGAAAACCAGGGAGGGAAAATTTGCAAAGAGAGAGACAATCCGGAGGGACTTCATTTCTTGAGTGTTTACTTTGCCCTGAGGAACTGTAGGTCAGAAATTCAAATGGGAAGAAAAGACAATTACTCTTCCCTCTCTTTGCAGGTTTGGAGATACAAGTAGGTTTCTGTGTGAGAGAGCGGCCTGAAGGAGCAGTTAGCATTCAGGTGCAGATGTGAGGTTTAAAAAGTAAATACAGCTCGATGGTATTAGTGTGTTTTATTAGGCACGGAAGGAGTCTCAGCCCTGCCCCACCCAGCCCTTGCCAGGAGTCCATAGTGCTGAAGTCCCTGAGTCAGCAGAGGTGGCTTTTCCACACCCCTTTCTGACCCAGATGACATAGGCTTCTGGTGTGACAGCTGAGGACCAGCCTGGTGGGCAGCTCTCTGCTAGGACCACAACCTGCCTCTCACTGGCACCATTAGGGGAGCAAGAATTCTGGGGACCAAGGTGGAAAGGGACCTTCTGAGATGTTCTCCAAGTGACTAACATTCCTGAGCCTTGCTCCCCTAAAAGGCTAAGGGAAAAGACCAGTTCCCAGACATGTGACTCAGTGACACATACTCAAGTTCCATAAATTGGCTCCAAAAGGAATTATAAACACCAGATGAGTCACCAACATTTTTCTGTTTACATCCATCCATCATCCATCCATCACCCACCTATCCATCCATCTACTCATGCATCCATCCCTTCACCCACCCATCCATCCATCCATCCATCATCCATTGGTCCTTCTCTCCCTCCCAGACCAGCCCCAAGCCAGGCTGGAAGCTGATGACAGATGAATGAATGAGCCCCAAACTGTACCCTGCTCTGCCCAGTGCTCCTCACACACCGAGCTCTGCCCTGCCTGCTCCTGGTGCTGGGAAACTCTCCTAGACTTGGCTGAGCTTGGGGCAGGTGAGGGAGGGGAGAGAGAGCAAACAATGGGGAGAGAAACCATAAAAACCCTCCTGGGCCATGCATTCCTGCTCACTGTTCCAGTGACCAGGGTGACTGCCGGGTGGTCAGCAGAGCACGCGGTCCTGCCCCACTTCACAGATGGGGACACTGAGTCCGGCAAGAGGCAGGCAGTGACACGCCGCTCAGGCCACAAGTCGACTGAGGCAGAGGGAGGTGACAGCTGGAGTCCCTGATCCTGGCTCTGTGTTCAGGCCTTTGTTACAGACTAAATGCAGATGGTACCAGCAGCATCCACAGTGAGATTAACCAGGATGCCCCAAGGGTCCCTTTCTGAACACAGGATGACATCATACAAAGACCGAGGCTAATGCCTCAGTGAAAGAAGCCTTAATGCATACAGAGAGGTATTGAAACCACAGCTTGAGGACATTGCAGATTCTCAATCCAGTTGAGGGAAGAGAATGGAGCAGACTTTGCCCCTGGAGGAAAGGCAGCAAATCTAGTGAAGGTCACACATCTGAGACCCGGGTTCTCAGCACCGCCTAAGGCTGAGGCTTGATCTGGAGCCATGTAGAGAGTACAATGGTGTTTATTAATAGAGGCTGGAGTGGCTGGCGGAGAAGAGGAAGATGGGGAGATGCTGGTCAAAAGATATATAATTATAGTTAGTTAAGTTCAAGAGATCTATTATACAGCATGGTGACTGTAGCTAATGACAACATATTATATTCTTAAAAATGCAATGATAGTGGATGTTAAGTGTTGTTACCACAAAAATTATAACTATGTAAGGTAATGCAGTTGTTAATTAGCTAGATATAACTATTCAACTATATATATACATATATATACTTCAAAACATCATGTTGTATTCTATAAATACATAACAGTTTATCTGTCAGTTAAAAAATAATACGTGAGGTTTTTTAATGTGTACCTGAGAGTAAGGATTCTTTGGCTAGTATATATTAGTTTTATTTTTAAATTATATGATGGAGAGCACTATAATCTAAGCAATAAATAGTTATCCTAACTCCTTTTTACTATTACTATTTTCATTGGAAAGGAAATAATATTCAAATACATTATGTAACTTTTCTTGATTATCTTAAAGGTAAATAGAAAAACTTGAGATCAAATCTGCATATGTGACTCCAAAGGCAGTGCTTTTTCCATAGCATATTACAGAATTAATGACACCATCTTTTTATACTTAGCACACAATACTGAAAAAAATAGAAAAAAATAAGTACTTTGAGTTTCAACTTTATAAAAACACTAATTTTATGAATCAATACTTAAAAGGAGCATTATGCTCCTATAAATATTATGCTTAAAAATGTAATTTCATTAATCATCTTAAGCAGAAAAATATTGCGCTGAATTTTTTCTTATCTTTGAATGTAAATTTAATGAGACTTAATGATGGATTAGGGAAGGGGAGCAGTGAGGAAAAAAAACAAACAGCTTCCAGACTTCCTTCTTGAGGAACAGATGTATGATACTGCTATATATTGAAATATAGGGCACTAAAAGAAAAACAACATTGTTTGGGAAGATAATAAATGTCTCACACATCATAGGAGGTAGAGAGCTATAAAAGCCTATCGTTTGATAGAGACATCTGAATTAGCAATATTAATATAGGATATGTTGACATCTATGTACTTAATATTTCACGCTATAAAAGTGGCTGAAATGGCCTGGGGAAAGGATATAAATTCCAAGGGACAAGACCTAGACTAGAGCCCCAAGGAACACCAGCATTTAAGAATGGGGAAAAAGTAGTCAAAATCATAGCAGAAAATAGAATGGTGGTTGCCAGGGGCTGGGGGTTGGGGGAAATGGGGAGTTGCTGTTTAATGGGTATAAAGGTTCAGTTATGCAAGATGAAAAAGTTCTTAAGATCTGCTATACAACATTGTGCTTATAGTTAATAATACTGTATTGTACACTGAGAAATTTACAAGGATAAATATCGTATCTTTTTTAATCACAATAACAAAAAGAAAAGTGGAGAAAAAGAAACTCGGTAGCAAATCAGATTCTGAGTGGTCAGAAAGGTCCAAAAAAAAAATGAATGTCAAGTAAAAGGGCACAATAAAGGTGGAATTGTATAAAGAATGAAGTGTCACTTGGATTTAGCAAGGGAACTCTCTGACAAACTTAGAGGTGGTTAGGCAGCGAAGACACAGTTCAAACGGCTAAGACACATGTCAGGTGAGGCAATATTAGGAAGTGAGGAGAAGCTGACTGTGGAATGGTGAGGGATTACTTGGGTGTATGGGAAGGACGTAATTTAAAGGGTGCCCTCCCAAAGTCATTCTGATTTAACAATATCTTACGCTTAAACAGTCACCACACGTTTCTCAAGCTTGAGGCTCACAGCTAAAAGCAGCACTTGCAGCTGGGGCTGGCAAGGCTTTGCACAGATATGCATAAGAGTGTCAGAGCAATATAAGGGACTCCCGCTAAGCTTTCCAACCAGGAAGTGGCAGAATGAGGGCCAGGGCCAGCCAGGGCCAGCTCTTTTTCTCTTCACCCTACTCCTGGCCTATCACATTCTGAAGCTAAGGAAAACCAAAGAATGGGGATTCAATTCCAGTTTATTCACTTATATCTTGCTCTCTTTGAAAAAGGATCTGAGATGCCACCCAGGAAGTTTTGTATGCAGACACGTGCAGAGCAATGCTATGTATAGCCAGTGCCTAAGCCTGCCTTTTCCTTCAAATAATGGCCACTGTTATAAAAAGAAATGGCAACTTTATTAGGATTCTAACGAAAATTCATTTGTTATCAACAATACATTTTGTGACCGTTATTTATTTCATTCTTAGTTTCCTCAATTATAAAATGTTAACCGCTGTGTACTTGGCCCTTTCTATGTTATTAATATGCCCAGGGAATTTAGTTAAGGCTTTGAAGTCCATTCAGTTCCTTGGGAAAGACTCTAATAACAGTAACAACTACAATTCCAATACTGAAAAATTTAGGAATCTATTGGGAAATGAGAGCGAGAGCGGAAGAGAAGGGGAAATTACCCACCTGTTTCAGCGCGGGTCCCACCACTCCAGGAGGAATTATCCCTCTGGGTTCCTCCCTTTGTCCTTCAGAGCTGACTTGTGCCCAAGGCCCGAGGCTCAGCATGAAAGGTACTACTGAGTTGTACACTTTTTTGCTCCTGGGCAAATTCACTTTCTCCTTTTCCGGGGCGGAAAATCCAGCATGGGGCACCTTAGGTCCCAAACTCGCCCAGGGGCTGCTCGCCGGTATTGGACTCCTGTGCTTTCGGGCTTCGCAGCGAGATCCCATCTTTTCTGCTGAGGAGGGGGCCGTCCCGCCACCAATAAGGCCACTCACCTTTGGCTCCCAGCTCTGGGAAGGGGTAGGTTCGTTGCTGTTGTGTTCTTTAAAACGGGAAAGAAGCTGGAGCAGGGAGCAGAAAAATGTAGACAGACACCTCTGGGGACAAGACACGAGGACAATCATTCCCCCAAAGATTTAGAGGACCGAAGCCTCGCACACTAAGAAACAATGCAAAGTGTAGAATGGTCGCCTGGGGCCCGCCCACCTACCGCAGCGGAAGATCGCGATTCTTCTCCTCCGTGTGCCGCACCCCAGTTCCACAACAAGAGCGATCCCCCGAAGGCGAGTAGCGAGTAGGCCCCTCTGTCACCCAAGGACACTCGCTTTAGGTCCCGTCCCCCCAGCGGCTCCCCTTCCGTGGCCTGAACCGGACACTGAGGCGGAGGTGGCCGCACGTTCCCGGCGCAGAGGCAGCCGCGGCGCACCCAGAGGCCAGGGTTCTCCCCGCGCGGGCGGCTGTTTCTCGGCCCCTCTCCGCCTGTGCACTCGCCCCAGCGCGACTTCCCCGGTGGGCGCAGCAAGGAAAGGGATGAAGTCGGTAGGTGTCGGTCAGGCCGCCGGGAGAGGCGCCGCCTGCGCGCCAGAAGCCGAGCGGGCGCCCAGCAGCCGGACGGCGGCGCGGAGCGCCAAGGCCAGGGCGGGCGGCTGCGGCGCGGACGTGCTGTCTCCGGGGATCGCCTCCAGCCGGCTGTCGGGAGCGCAGGAGGAGGCGCGCGGCCCGAGGGGGCCGTGCTGCTCGCACCCGAGTTAGCGCCGCCGCCGCGCCTCTGCACGCGCGCCCTCGTCCCTCCTGCCGCGGCGCTCTGCGTGAAGCTCTTCCTGGAAACGACTCCCGGCAGAGGCTCTGAGGGGACCCAGGCGCGCTCCTCTCCCCGGCAGGGGCGTCCCCGCTCGCGGAGGCACCGGCACCGGGAAGACGAGGCGGTTGAGCGGGACCGGTGCCCTCCGCCGCCGCGGGCCCGCACTCGCCGCAGCCTCGCGCGAAGCGGACGCGGGGCTTTGACGCTCACGGCTCGCGGCCGCGCGTTCGTTGCAGGACCTTCCCGCGTTCGCCGCACTGGGCTGCCGCCGCGCCACGGTTTCCCGCGTCGCTCCGCGCTCCTCGAGTTACGTCGAGTTCTTCTGTGGAGAGTTTGGATCGTTTTCTTTCTTCTAGGAGAAGACCCCGCAGCGTCCCGCCGGCTTCCACCGGCCGCGGGCTCAGCAGCCCCGCGCCTCCCTTCGGGGAGCCCGGGCTGGAGCGGGACGCCGTTCTCTGCTCCATCCGCGTGCTCAGCCCTCGGAACCGAGGCGGCCTGGGCGCGACCGCCCCTTGGCGGGGTCAGCTCCGAAGTCGCCAGGCCGGCGCCGACGCAGGAAGGCGGCCGGGCTGCGGCCCGGGTCGGCCCCTCGCCTGGCCTGAGGCGGGCTGGTCCACGTTAACTGTGGGGATGGCGTCCCCGTGCTCCGTGCAGGGGTCCGGACGACTCGGGCCCCGGGGGTCGTGGCAGGGTTGGAGGTGCGGACGTGGGGTGCTAACTGTGGTCACCACGGGAACACGGAGGTGTGACTCGGTCTAGACCCAGGCTGGGCGGGGGTCGACTGGCCGTGGCGAACGGTGGCTACGCGCCCAGGCGAGGCGGGGGGGTTGGGGACCCTCGCCCTGAGCTCCTCCTCTGGCCCTGGGACTCGGCGGGTGGGAGAGGGAGCCGGGCGTCGGCCCACCTGTCCCCTGTCAAAGCTGGGAGGAGGCATTAGGCAACAACGTGTAGAGTTCCCTTGGGGTAAGCACAGCCACAGTGGCTGAAGGAGTCCAATCTCTGAGGTTTCTTTGGAAGAGCTGGCTAATCTAGTGCACTTGGGTTGTTCAGCTCTCTTGGGAATTGATTTTGATGTTTCTGGCCATGTCCGTCTACTTCCCAACTCCACATCGTAAGACATTCTGATATTTGGCCATTTTTCCCCCACTGATCGTGGTGCCCTTTCTAAAGCACTGCCTTTATAAATCATGTGATGGAATAGTGACACTGAGCCAGCTAGTTTTATGTGGTTCCTATTGGAACAACATCCACTTTCCCTGCATGCCTGGCCTAGGCTCCTAGACAGTGGGCGACACCCCTGGCCAGGGTAAGGGGAGAGGGTGTGTCAGGAAGAATGGCTTTGGTGAGACAGCCTGAAGTCCATTCCTGGCTGTTGTGACGGAGAGCGTCAGTTTAATCAGGTATCTCTAGTGGCTGTTTTTAGAGGTGTTAATTATATGAAGTTGAATTTAGAGAGTAATTATCTGGATAATTCAAGTTGAATAAAACCTAATTTTACCGCAAAATTTAGGTACTTGGAAACAGAAAGTCTGAATTATATTTGTATACCACCTAGAAAAAGAAAACTATTCTTTTTTAAGTTACAGGAAAAAAAAATCTATTTGGAAGGAGGAATTTCCAAATGTGTAAATATTTAAATTTAAAACAAAATATAAATGTTCATTAAATTTTTATGTGATTCAAACATTTTCATGCCCATGTCTTTGCTTTAACTGTTTTTTCCTCCCCTTTAGTTGTCTTTCCTCGAAGGCCAGTTTGGGACCTCTCCTGCCTGTGAAATAGAGTAGTCCCTGCTCTGATGACACTTTGGGGTATGCATAAGAGCATCCATATGCAGCCTTGAGCAGAGGGCTGGACACGTGATCAGCAACAGTGGTTGTGATGGTGTTCTTCCCAAATACTCTGATCAACATTTAACCTCTTTATTCTTTGACCATAGGGAAAAAAACATGACTGCCTATACTACTTTTTTACACTTACTATCCTATTTTTTTTAACTTTTCTATTTTAGATGTTATACTTTTACCTGCATAATGAAATTGTAGACTCCTTCAAAGACTAAGATGGGCAATACAAAACTTGTTTGATTGGATTGAAAATCAACTTTTACTTACTTTACAAACCACACAGTTTTATTTATTTTTCCTCAACAGAAAATGAAAGCATTCATAGAAAGAAGGAGGAGTGTTCCATCTCTTCTCCCGGATAAAGCCCTGCAAGAACAGCCTAGTACCAGCATGTAAGTGCAAAGCTTTGTACTACACATCTGATTTGTGCTTGGGACTTTATATTAGATGAAGGGTTTTCAGATCACTTTTGTCATGTGTGAGTGTTTTTTGTTTGTTTTCCTTTAGCACTGGCATTCTCTGTTTAGTCATAGAAAACCTGACTGCTGTCCTGAGGTTATTTAATAAGACCTCTTCTTTGTGGGAATCATACTGCCTTTTAGAACTGGTGTGTAAGCTTGGTTGGTTTAAAACTGATTCGATAGTGAATCTCACATCACATAGTACACAAATATGCAGGTTCCATATTTTATCAAAGTATATTTGTAGAAACAATTAGAAATCAGAATACTGAAAAATGAATGTTGTTATACACAAAATATTGCTTATTTTTTATGATAAGGTGATGCCTGTGCATAAATAAGATCATTTTTTCACCAATTTTAGATATGAAGGAAGATAACCAGATTGAGATTATAAAAAATGGGATATTGGGTTCTTTTAGACATTATTGCTTAAATTAGTGAAATTTGAAGTAGGAAAACAAGCTAAATATGTAATAAAGTGGCCATTTTACCTATTGTGGCTAATTACTATTTCGGTGGACACTTTAAGGATCTTTCATAATATGTAGAAATTTAATGGATATTCAATTGTTAATTTATTCATTCATTTTTAAATGGCATTTTTAACTAATAGCATTTTTTATGTTCAAACGAATCCTGTGATGACTTTCTTCTAAGCTGTCAATCCTTTTATGTAAAGTGAAGTCTTCATCTTTATTTAAAGTGAGTGTATACCTATAGCTGTAATATTTTTAAATGTGAATGATGTGCTAATTTAACATAAAATCTATATGAAGATATGGAAGATTTTTAGTGCAACAATAGATTCTATTTCCAAATCCCATTTAATGTAACTTATCAAAGTACTTAGGTGACTTTCTTCCCAGTACTCAGCAAGTTCTCTCTGATCAGTACTCTTTCTGACCTGTCCCCAAAAGACATATGCTTTAGTCATTGGGCTTATTAGGAAATGTAAACTCCTTTTAATAGGTGCCTAATGAAAATTTAATTAGGAAGATAATTTCTTAGAGGTTTTCATAGAAAGGTTACAGAACTTAAATACTGTATGAAAAAAATCAATGAATTAAAATTCATGAAATTTTAAGGCTTTTGTCAAAAACACAGTGAAGAAAGTGTACCATGCAAGCAACAGACTGGGAGCAAATATTTTCCCAAGCATATGCCTGACAAAGCACTGTATACCAGCACAACGTGTCCAGAATTCATAAAAAATTCCTATAACACAGTAGATAACGTGTGCATAATAACACATAACTCATTTTTGTAAAAATAATGAGCATAAAATGTGAAGACATTTTACCGATGAAAATACACAAATGGCCAGTAAGAACATGACAGAAATTAGTCATCAGAGAACTTCAAGTTAAAATCTTAGTGCGAGGCCACTGTATATCCTCTAGACTGGCTAGAATTGAAAAGACTGACAACATCAAATGGTTGTAAGGTTGGAGAACAACTGGGACTCTCCTACTGTGTTGCAGGGATTGTAGAATGGTACAACCACTTTGGAAAACTAACTAGGACTTTTTTTCTTTTTCTAAAATTAAACATATACATAATCTGTGACCCAACAATTCCACTCTGGGATATTTTCCCAAGAGAAATGAAAACATAGGTCACAAAAAGACTAGTACAATGTTTAATAGCAGTTAAAACTGGAAACATCCCAGGTGCCCATCAGTAAGAGAATATATAAATTCTGGCATATTTTTATATTGAATATTATTCAGTAATATAAAGGAATGGATTACTGATAAATGAATTCCAAAAACATGCTGAGTAAAAGCTATCTTACACGAAACAGTACATACTGTAGTTTCATTTATATAAAATTCTGGAAAATTCACCTATCCTTCAGTCATAAAGATATTTTCCTATGTGTTCTATTAAAATCCTTATGATTTTGGTTTTTACATTTAAGTTGATGATCTATCTCAAATTATCTTTGGTTTATGGTATAAGGTAGAGGCTGAGGTTCATTTTGATTTTCGAGATGGGAAAACCTTCAGTGGGAAAGAAATCAGAATAGTGGTTTCCTCCAGGGTGTTGGAGTGGGGACTGACTGGCATAAGGAGTGTGAGGGATTTGGGAACTGATCAAGGAAAAAAGAGATGATGATGGCACAAGGTTGCATGATAAAAGAAGTCCCTCACCACTTGAGACTGTGCAGAGGCATATGATGAGGGGCTACTGACGTGGCCGACTTGAGACCGAGGAATGAACACAGAGACACAAAGATGCGGACACATGACTGCAGCCCTCACAAAAAGACACAGACACCACAAGACAGTATGAGGCCACAGCGAAAAGCTCTCGCCGTAGCTGTTTTATTTATAATACAGGCTGTTTGCAACTGTCCCACCGCAAATTCCCTACTCAACACGTCCCAGTTCCTTGTTGTTTCGTCTCCGGCAAACAGATGTTTGCATCTCAATTCTCTAGCCCCTCCTGTTTGTAGAGAGAGGGCGCTCTGGACTTGGCGTGCAAGGTCACAGACATGTTCTTGAGAAAAACAACAAGGAAACTTTCCCAGACAAAGGTGTCCTCTACAGGCTACCATCTAAAAGGGGAAGAGGGCAAGAGAATTCTGGAAGAGAGGAGAATCAGAACCGGTGTCTCTGGAGAGTACATGTCCAGGTGATGTTGCTCAGTAGTGAGGAATGTCTGGGTCAGACAGCCGTAAGGAGCACTAGCAGCTTGGGGTCTCATAACCGCAGGTTCTCTCTTATCAGTGCCCAGCAGATGCTGGATCTAGTTTTATGGAGTATGCAATGCAGGCAGGCTGTTAGTGGCTACAGATCATCTTGTGTGGGCTATTTTTCAAATGACTGGGTATGTAAAAATTTGAGTTTGGCACCAGTGAGCTTTTGAACTAACAGATATCAGCCTGCAATCAAGAAATAACCCAGGAGTTAATCCATGGAATCTATATTTTCTTAATTTAGATAATAACCAGAAGGGGAAATTTTTTTGAGTGATGATAATTTCCTATATCTTGATAGGGGCTTAGATTACACAGGTGAATACATTTGTCAAAAGTCAGTGGATATCGTGCTTTAAAAAGGGCTTTATAAAAAAAAGTCAGTGAATATACACCTAAGATTTGTGTATTTGTACATTTTGTATATCAATTTTATATAAAAAGAAAAATCTAAATATTGAACTCTAGTTAATGATATGCATGCTGAAGTATTTAGGGGGGATATGTACTGCTGTATGCAGTTTACACTGAAATGCCAAATAGAAAATAGATTTATAAATAGATAGGC